GTGTCTCTTATATATATATATATATATATATATATATATATATATATGAATGTTGACTGACTCATATTATGCTTTTGAAAGATTGAGATAACTGATATTGTGTTATCTTCCTTGCTTGAAAGGTATGTTTACATTCCAATTGTACTATGTTTCTATTGGCAGACTCGATTGATATTACCATACTTTATCCCATGCTCTATTTATGTTTCATATGCTTATTGAGCTGTTAATAAATGTCAGAGTCAACCCTTTGCTACTAGTTCTTCGAGGCTAGACTTAATACTTATTGAGTACCGTAATTTTGTACTTATACTAGACTTCTGTATATTTTGTGAAAGCCTTGAGGCTGGTTTTAGTGGTATTCACCCAGCGGAGTAGAAGTGCTATCTGGAGACTTCGTGGCGAGATGCTTACTTGATCCGATCTGCAACACATGGAGTTCCCCCTTCCCTACTCTTTTATACATGTCTATGTATTTTGTCATTTCCAAACATTCGTTGTATTCTGTTCAGATTTCATATTCTTGTTAGATGCTCGTGACTATATTGTGACACCTAGGTTTTGGGAGAGTTCGTCAGAAAGTTGTGGTCATGTTTAGATCCTGTCTCAAATATTTATATTTATGATACCGGTTTTGGGACTTATTTCGCATTCTTATTGTTATCATATCTCTGTTAATGGCTTAAAGTGAATTTTAATATTGTTGTTTAGTGTTGGCTTGCCTAGCAAGTAGGTTAGATGCTATCACGACCTTTGGTGAAAATTTTGAATCATGACAAATTGGTATTAAATCTCTAGGTTCTAAGGGTCTCATAAGTCACGAGAAGGCCTAGTAGAGTCTTTTGGATCGTACAGAGACGTCAATATCTATTTATGAGAGTCTATAGGGTTTAAGAAACTTCCATTTTCTTAATTCCTTATCGTGCGTTTATTAATTTCTAAATTTGAATTCTCTTCTACTCTCTCTCAAATGGCAAAAATGCGTCCTTCAATAGTGTTAGGTGATGGAGAGGCAATACTACTGACTGTAGACATGAGGGATAGGGCCTGGGGTAGGGCTAAGGCTCCCACCAAGGGTCACATAGTGACGGATAGGGGTGGAGTACCCACTAGAGCCTAGGAGCTTGTTCGAGCAGTATCAGTGGATCCGCCTGAGGATCAGGTAGAGGATCAGCATGTTGATGATCATGTTGAGGCCCAATTCCTACTCCACCTAGAGGGTTGTGTTGTGGCACCGATATTTTAGGAGGCCATGGCCAAGATGGTCAGTTTTATTGATGCTTTAACCCAGGCTAGAGTGGTTCCAGTGGCCCCAGCCACATCTAAGGCTAGAGAGGAAGTTTAGACCCCTATCACTCGTACTTCGAAGTAGCCTATTATAGCAGCTAGACCCGCGGTTCAACCTGCTATGTTTTCTGGTGAGCAGAAGAGGATGGAGAGGTTTCAGAGGTTATATGCTCTACACTTTGAGGGCGGTACTTCAGAGGATGCCCGGGATTTTCTAGACAGATGTTACCAGATGATTTGCAACTTGGGCTTGGTAGAGTCCAACGGGATGGACTTCACTACATTTTAGTTTAGAGTGGCTGCTAGTAGATGGTGGCATAATTATAAGGTGCACAGACTAGCAGGTTCACCTCCTCTTACTTGGGCTCAGTTCTCACAGTTATTCCTAGAGAGGTACATCCCACACACTAGGAGGGATGAATTGAGAGGCTATTTCGAGAATCTTCAGCAAGATTGCATGACTGTGACCGAGTATGAGGCGAGACTCACAGAGTTATATCATCATGTTGTTATCTTGATCCTTACCGAGGCTAAGAGGGTAAGGAGATTCATTGAGGGTTTGAATTATGGCATTAGGATTTCTATGGCTCGAGAGTAAGAGATTGGGACTAAGTTTCACCAGGCCGTAGAGATAGCTTAGAGGATAG